CTCTTAAAGTCACCCCAAAGTGTCTGTAATGTGTCCCCATGTGAAGAATTTCATTTTAAAACACTCCCTCCCACAGACTGCATTCTCTTGGCCTCTGAAGGAAGCAGAGAGCAGCCGCAATTGCTGCTTCAAGCGCCGTAGGAGGTGGCCCAAGGCGGAGCGGGGCGCAGTCCAAGGCCCTGCGGAGCGGGGTCCCCGGTGTGGGCTGCCCGGGTGGAAGTCCTCCCAGTGCCACTCCCTTGCCCTGTGACCTTGAACACATGTCGCACCCTGGGCCTATCTCTCTTCTTCGGCACAGTTAAGCCAATGAGTGTAGCTGCCATGTGCAGTTGTGAAGGTTGGAAGAGGTGGTTCATTCAAGACATGACCTGCCCTGGCTGGCCAAGTCTTAGAGCCGGGACTAAAGTGAGCACTCAGTGAACATCCACGTGATCCTATATACTCTTGATCGTCTTTGGGGTCTTCGGGCCTCATAGCCTATGGGAAGCCGCTGGGAGGGATTAAGCCCATCTCTGCTCAATTCCCTCTGTGTACTGAGTGACTAGGGCCCAGGGAAAAGAGAGAATATGGTGAGCTGAGCTTGGAGCTTAACAAAGTATGATGACTTTGGCTGTAAGTGCTGCTTTATGGCCGTCTGTAAAGCTGCCCATCACAACCTCCCAACAGATGACCCGCAGTAATGAGAGTAGGAGGGGGCGGCACTGCAGAACATTCTACCTGTCGGGGACACAGATCACGGCAAGGGCATTCCCATAAAGCACAGGGCGTCTCTCTCTTCCTTCTTCCTTCCTCTTATGCCCTGGCCTGGCCCCTCGCTTGTGGCCTGGCCTCTCACTCTCCAGCTCCCATTCATTTTTTTCCATTGAATCATAGTTTAATTTACTCAAGTATTCATTCAACCATCTATTTGTCAATTTTTGATTACTCGTATAGCAAGTATTAAGTAGGCTAATAACTGCAGATCAGATTTCTTTGGCTCTTTCTATATGGTAGAGTCTTTGGTAAGTATGATAATGCTAGCAGCAACAGCAGCAACATTTATTGAGCAGGTACTCTGTGTCAGGCAGCATGGTAAGTGCTGTATATCAGTTGTCGCATTTTATCTTCACAGAAGTTGTCTGAGGCAAGAAGCCATTAATATTATTAACAGTGTCTGTACAGGTTGGGAGACATGTCCTAGAGAATTTAGGTAAATTATCCAAAGTCACATTATTAGTAAATTTTAGAGCTAGGTTTCAAAATCATGTCTGTCTAATGTAACACACGTGCTGTTAACCACTACTCGGGGCAGCCTCAACAGATCGGAAATCCCAGGCTGATAATCCTTGTTCAGTAATGAGCTCATAGAGAAGGTTGTACTTGAACTGTGTTGTAGGGTGTGAACAAGGAGACCAGGATGAAAATGATTTCAGAAGGTATTTGTTCCAATTGAAAACAACATGCTAAACAAAACCGTGAAGCAGAAGCCCACCACGTGGCCCCATATTTCCCACCTAAATCATTGAAAGGGTCTTGATATGTCATCATCAACTCGACAAAATCAAATGGTGAGTTAGAAATTTTTCAATTGAGAGTGACAGGAGCTCCAGTTCCAACTGGCTTGCCGATAATGGAATGCATGAACTTGTGTCGCTGAAAAGGCCAGGCGCAGGACTATCTTCAGGTACAGCCCAATCTAGTGGCTTCGAGGCCGAGCTTTAGTCTCTTCCCACGTTCCCTCGCTGCCTCTCACAGCATCAGTTACATCTTCAGGCCCCAGATGGGCTCCCCACGGCCTTCCATTCCGTGGCCTTCCATGTTACTAGTCAAGAAGCTATTCGAGTCCTCTTATCTTCCTACCACATGGACCGCAGAAGGTGTGTCTCTCAAGAAGCAGAGAGAGACCCTTCTTTTTTTCCCAGAAGCCCTAGAAATGTTCTCCATAGGTTTTATTGGTGCTGCCATGCTGAATCAAATCCCTGCAGGCACAGGGATGGCGTTGGGCAGGATGATCGGCTTTTGCCAGCCAGGGCCCACCCCCTAAAGCTAGGGACAGGGTCGATACCCCGATAATGGCATGGCTGATCGTGGCTGAGAATCCAACTCCAAGTGGTGTCACCTGAAAGAGGAAGGTGAACAGAAGTTAGAGAGCAAGAGCCGGTGGGGCCCACTACAGCGAACGCTTCCTGTCACCCTATTCATCATCCTAAAGTATCTTCCTGAAACATAGCAGTTCCATGTAGCACTGCATTAAATTGGAAATCTTACCTTATTCATTATCATCTTGGAAGCATTTTCTACACTCAGTGCAACAACATTTTTTTTTAAACGTGAGTAAATGTAGTAGTTTTTTTCTTCCCCAAGTGCCTCAGAAGTCCCAACTTTCGAAATGTCTCCAGTGGGATTTTTGTCACTACCCTCCTTTATATAAGCTTTGTCTTCTGCCTAAACCAAAGGTGTCAACTTGCAACATTTCAATTAAATGAGATTAAATACTGTGGTTCTCTACAGGGGTGATATTTCTATTGCCATTCTTTCTGCATTGCTTATTCGACAAACGTGTTTGGCATGTGCAAACTGTTGTGATCACTTTTCTTTGTGTGACATTTTGGGAAGGGAAAGAAGCTGCATGGCTCAGTGGATGACACAGTTTGCGACAATATAAAAATTTGAAATTCTTAAACGATTTAGCATTTCCTCTTCCAGCCACATTATCTATCACAGGGAAGTGATATTCTGGGGGACTCAAGCCAATCAGAGGATAGGAGTGTAATTTTTCCAAAACAAGTGTATGTATAAATTATCACTCTCTTCTCTCCTCTCCATAAATAGCGACACTAATAGATCCATAGCATGAGATACGTGAAGGGTTGCCATGTTCTACAACAATTCATCTTGTCTGGGGAAGGCAGAGTTGAGAAATCTGATCAGTTAAGATGCACAGCTATACTTCAACCTCGTCCAACATCTCCTGACTGTAGTGGTTAAAAGAATATGTGTTTCTTGTCTGGAAGAGGGAGCTTGTATGTGTGTAACAGACCGAGAAGGAGTAAGAGCCTAACTCCAAGGCATGATTGAGCCACAGATACATTTTACTGGATTTGCACAAAATTTATATAAAATTGGGAACTTGTTACATAAAAGTTGAGATTACCATCTTCCTCTGAAACACTAGCGATCTTTTCTAAGAGGAAAACCATGTCCTGGAGCCATAAAACAGTTTTGCACAGAAACTGGCATCTTTAGACCGGACGCCAGCCCTCCAGCCTGCCTCAGTCTCCACCATTCCCCGCTGCCCCAGATCTAAGCCTTTTTGTGAACTTCCTGGGCACAACATGCAGCTGAGTTTGTGGGTCTCACTATAATGGGAGTCACGTGCACTAATAATCCAGTGACATGTTAATCCAGGGTCTTTTAAAAATTTGCCCAAGCTATAGTTAGTGACAGTGAAGAGAATCCGGTTTTCTTTGAATTTTTTTTTTTTTCCAGAACCAGAGTTACTTTATAATTTACTTTCACTGGTTGAAACAAGAGTCAATGTTCTTTAAAAAGAAGTAAGACAAAATATTTCCAACTTTTCTGCAGTTTTAGTTTCTCTTTGGCATTCTTTTGTGACTTTTCTGAACCAGGCAACTTCTTGGGAGGTATATTAGGAGGTTTAATATTCACAATATAAATCACATCCGTTGTAAATCACAGCACACTACACGTTATGTGGTTCTGGAATTTCTGCTAACCACAACTGCCATCTCTGAGCTGACTACAAATGCCGTGTATGTTAGTCACAAACATCCTCAACAAAAATAGTTCAGGGCTCACAAATGTTATTTTGTGTTTCTTTGCCTGTTTCACTTTGCAGTGGTCTCTTTTTTCATCAGAGACAGGCAAATGTATATTTTCCCATCTTCTGTTAGTGTTTCTAGGCTCATTAGGGGCTGGTCCACCGGGCCGCTGACCAGCTGACCCACCCCTCAGCTCACTTCTGCGGGAGGGCGTGACAGCGGAATCGCTGAGTCACAGAGTGTGCGAGCTGAACAACTTGGCACTGGGAAATCTGTGAAGCAGAACTTTGAGAAGTCTACCATATTTTAATAAGTGTATTACAAACTATTTTTAATTGCCTGTTTTTATTGCATTCATATATGTATCTAATTCAAGAGTCAGTGAACTATGGCCCATGGGCCAGTCCAGCCAGCTGCCTGATTTGGTCAAGAGCATTTTATTGGAACACAGCCACACCCCCTCATTTACATATTGTTTATGGCTTCTTTTGCATACAATAGCAGCTCTGGGTAATTCTAACAGGGGCCAATATGGCCTGCAAAGCTGAAATATTTACCGTATGGTCCTTTGAAAAAAATTTTGCCAACCTCTGATCTACTTCTCAAACACGGTAGAAAAATGTTATTTATTGGTTGTTAAATGCACTTCTCTGAATGATTCATTCCCCTTGATAGAAGTTCCCAGGGTTCCCCTTCAGGACACGGGTGACAGTTGTAATTCTCTATTCTCTGGACATCTTTATACTATAAGCTTCTTGGGGAACCATGGTCAGGCCTGACTGTATCCATGTGGAAGGCTTTTAACTGCAAGTAACAAACATTTAACTGTGGCTTAAACAAGGGGGATTTGATGCATCTCACCAACCATAAGCCAGGATGCCTATGAGTCTGGCTCGATACAGAGCCCCCTGAACTGTGCCAACCCTCCTGCCCCCAGGCTGCGCCTGTCCCTCCTGTATTACCAGGACCAGCTTGCTGGCTCTTTGTGTGTGTCACCCCACGTTTGCAGTTTTTTACCCTAGCTGCAGGCGTCATGTCCTCACATCAACTTTTACGGCAGAGCAGAAGGGACGTGAGCGTAAAGTGTTTTCCTGCTTCATCTCACCCTCTTCATTTTACAGACGGGGAAAGTGGGGCACGAAAATAGAAAGTTCGATATTACAGGGAATTTGTAGGGTCTCTGATTGTCCAACGTCCCTACCCCATCCTTCTGGTAATAACTCCTTAATTTTTTTTAATTACATTTCTTCTTGCATGTACTAAAAATCATACTGAACAATGAGTTCTGGGTTGCAAAGAAGGGACTTGGTTTTCACACCCATATATGGTCTTTGCCCACAGACTAAACAAAAACAAACACAAGTGCTAATTAACTCTTTAGTTTTTCTTCGATGAAGCAACTCCCTCAAACAATACGACCGTAGTGAGGCTGGGCCGCAGCCCTGCTCGGAGAGAGCTTCCGGTCCAGAGAGGCCATTCCACGTTTGCAGGTGCTCCCAGGAAAAAGAACACAGACTTGAGGTTGCTGGCAGTCAGTGTCGAAGAGCCAGGCTGAGAGGGAAGCCCGCATAGAGGGAAAACTGGGCAGGTGTGAAGAGAGACCTGCGAGGCCATCGATGAGCACCTGGATGTAGCTGTTCCTGAATCAGGTATTTTACCTTAATGACCCTTTCTATTGAAAATAATAGAAACACCCAGCTCCAAGGGTTCTAAGCCATAGAGGGGATTGTTTTTGACTCTTTTAATGCTCCGTCTGGAAGTAAGCAAACTTCACTCAACAGTGTGTTTAGCCATTGGATGGATCATGCTATCAAGAGCCTAGGTTTGGGGGTTTGTTTGTTTCCCATCTCTCATCTGTACTTCATTCTAAGTCAGCCCTTCTCATGCTTGTGAGAGGGCTGCTAGTTGTAATTCTCCACCCCCCTCTGCGGGTCAGTAAGTTAAAGATCTCAAGGAGGGTTTTGATTCAGCTTCATTGGGCCCTTTGCTGATCCAAGGACCAATCACCCTGAGCAGGAAGCAATGGAATGTGCTGACTGGCTTTTGTGCTGGTGCTTCTGGGAGAGGGAGAGATCTGCTCACTGGGAAGTGTACTGGTCAAATAGGGCAGAGAGAGAGGTCCTTGGGCGGAAGTCTGGGTTACGTCCAAAAGGGTGAATGGAGTGAATGCTGGGAGAAAAAACAGCTAGTAACTCCTGGACTTCTGAGTGATGTGCAGCCGAAATTTTTCCTTTGTCCTTAGGCCAGTTGGACTTAATTTTCTGTCCTTGCCACCAAAGGCTACACGTATCATGTCATCGGGAACGGAAACGGACCATCTTTCAAGCGCAGCACCTGGCAACACGAACCCGCTCTCCGTCTTCACTTTTCTCCACGCCGCTTTTCACGTCCTCTTCTACTAGGTTATTATTCATTTTCTATTTTTTCTTGCTCTGCTCATTAGAGAAGAAGCTCCAGTGTCCCTAACAGTGCCTCTGTCATGATATGTGCCCAGCAGATATTTGTTGAACGAAAGAGTAAACGCATGAAGACATGTCACCTCCCTGCGTCAGAAGAGGAATGGCCCTCGAAGGCCAGCAAGCCACTGTCTGCAGGGAGCGCCGGAACCCCGGGCTCCTGACACCAGGTCTGCTGGGGACTCTAGTCCTTCATCCCACGGGAAGGCGACAGACATCCCAGCCTCCCACCAAGCAGCTTCCGCCGCTCCCAGTGGCCCCACTTACATCCTTCAGCTGGTCTATTTTCAAGTCCTTGAGTTTGACATTTCTTGATGAGGATCTTGCCTGTGTATTTGAATTCCAATTGTTTTCCTTCGCACCCGAATGAGATGGTATCGCTGACCCTTTCCTGTATCGCTTTACCCACGAAGGGACGTGGGCTTTATCTTGGCTCTATTTCTGCATCCTCTGTCTCCACGCCCATATTCACCAGGCATCTCGCCTCAGTCCCCACGCCCGGCCGTGGGAGCCAGAGCGCGTCCCATCCTCATCTTATTCCAGGCCCGAGCTTACACCAGAGGTCCCCTGGGCTGCCTGGCTGCAAGAGGCTCCCTTGGGCAGAGGAACAGTCTGGATCTTAGGCATTCAATGAAGACATCTCCAGGGCCCTTGAATGTCCACATGGGCTGTGTTGGAGACCAAGGGGACACTGTGCCTCTCAGGCGCAGGTGGGACCCTGGTGTGGTCTGCTCAGCGGGGCGCCATCTTAGAACTCCTACTGAATTCTCCAGCCGGGCGTGGTCACAGCCCTTGCAGTTTCCTACACCCCAGCAGGACTGCATTTCCCCCCGCCTTGGAGACGATGTAAGTACTTGATGCTCCGTCTGAAAATGTGTCTGAAACCCCGACCATCTAGGGCATCACAGAAGGGCTTGTGCCGTGAAGAGCATCGTGAGACGGGATCCTGAATCCAAACAAGTAGTTCTCCAAGCTGTTGTGCTCCATGAAGTCAACCACCCGCCGATAACCCACAACTTGGATGGCAGGAAATTTGAAGTAACATAGGTATGTGTTAAAAGTACGTTTTATAACTTTTATTCAAATTTTGAAATTTGAAGACTCAGTCTTCTACTTACTCATTACTGAAACCAATGTTTCTTAAATGTGGTCCCCAGATCAGCAGCAGCAACGTCACCACGGGACTTGTTAAAAAGAAAATTCTGGGTCCCCACCCCCAGACCTACTGAGTCAGAGGCTTTTGGGGCAGGGATTCAGCCATCTGTGTTTTAACAAGCCCTCCACGTGGTTCTGATGACAGTTTGAGAACCACTGGCTTAAACTACCTGCTCCGTGTTTCCTTATATGTAGAATGGGAGTTAGATGACCTGGTCTCTTAAGGTTATTGTACGGATTAAATCCAAAAGATTCTGCGTGGAAAGCATTTAGCACAGTGTCTGGCACTCAGTATGCACTCAATATATGACAGCTACAATTAATGTTAGTATTATTATTGGATTTCTTTTCTGGGTGGCCAATGAATCAGTCTATGTCTCTGCATGTCTACCTGTGAAATAATTGTGAAGAGGGAAGATATTTTAACATTAATCATTATAACAATAGCTAATTTATTGAGCTCCGTGCCAGGCACTTGGCTAATCACTCCATGAACATTGCATTCGATCCTTATTTTTAAAAAATGCTAAGTGAATGGTGCTATTATTATCCACCTTTTACAGGTGAGAAAACAGCTTAAGGAACTTGCCCAGAATGATACAGGTAGTGAGTGGAAGAACCAGGAAAAGAATTCAGAGGCTGAGCCTCCAAAGCCCAGGTAGTTAGACACATCACCAGACCACCACTCCAAAGTGGTTTGCCAAAGCCACTTTGGAATGGCTGTTTTCATTCCTGTAGCGCTATTTCGAAAATCGGACATTCACTATAACATGCACATACTATCATAGCTATTGATTAATTGTAGAGGAAGGCTCTCGATCAAGTTTTTGCCTGAAATTAGGTTTGTTTTTTAAGACACCAGGGGCAAAGGAAACCCTGTAGCCGTCCTCCATGAAGCCCTCCAGGATTCTTAATTTTGCCAAGGCACATTGGCCATGTGGCCACCACGGGGGACGATTTGCTCGTGATGGGACTCGAGACATCCCAGCACCTGCCGCCTTATTCCTTCTGCCTCGCAGTTTGGGGCACTGATTGCCTGAGCCCGAAGAAGACATTCAAGTGTTCATTAGGTCAGAGAGTCAACTAGGAAAAAAACCAAAAAAACAACTGCTTCCTTTACCTGCGAAAGGTAAATCTTCAGGCGAGGATTAGAAAGAGGAAATGTGGAAATGGGACCTGTAATTAGCGTTAAGTATGTGTTAGCAGTTGTACTTACTCATATGGGTTTGGGGCCCAGTGACGAACGCCAGATTTGTATCATTTCTCAATACAACAAAAAAATTCTGGCACATCAAATACCAATGACATCCTGTAAAACAATTTATAAATGGGCCAATTTGTATGTATACCCAAGGAGTTTCAGAAGAGGCTGCTGAATTTGTAAAATCAATACACAGGGCCCGGCAGAAGTAACGCCTGCTGGAGCACAGTTGGTAGGGTAATACTATGGGCGCAATAATTTATAGTTTTAATTTGAACCTTTCACCTAAAATGTCACATACTGTGCTTGAGTGTGATGTTGTTATGTTACAGAATCCCATGCTTATGATGTTGTAATAAAAGATTTTGTAATAAAAAAGGGCCGCTATTTGTGCCAGACCCTGTACTTAAACACCCACCGAAATGATGTTCCCGGGTAACAGATATATTCGGTGTTCACTTCGTCCTGGAGAACTTTTAAGGGTACAAAAGGCAAGGAACAAAACCTTGCAGCTTGTCTCGTTTGCGTGAAGCTAATATGCTTGTCCGTTTGAGAGTTTCTGCCTAAACCTTCGAAGCTGGACCTCAGAGACAGTACAAGACGTTTGGTTCAGTGTAAAACATCCCTGTGTCCCTAAAATGACAGTATCAACAATAGCACCACTGAGCACACGCTAGTCTGGGCTTCTGCCTTTTATTTTATTTTTTTATTTTTTCCCTCTTTTTAGCTCCACCCCAGCCAGCTCTTGAAAGGCCTTCTGTTCTGTCAGCCATAATGACATCTGCCGGCGGAGACAGGAAGTCATAAATCTGGAGGTCCCCTCTCAACCAAACCTTGTTAATGCTGCCATTTATCACCGGGGCTGGGGTGCCATCTCTGGAGGGCTGGACGCAGAGTGCATTTTCTCCCAGAGCCCTCTCCCCGGAGAGCAACCATTTTAAAAACGGCCCCTTTTTCATCTCGCGTTTGCAGACCTGAGAGTCAGGCAGATGCAAACCCCGTCGTCAACGAGCAGCTCTTGGAAAGGAGCCACGGCTCAGGCAACAATAGACTCGACTTGATCTTTCAGGGCTGAAGCCAGGCGGCTCTGCCCGAGCTCTGTCCTGCCTCGTTGTCACCCGGCCCCTCGCTGCTCCCAGGACAGAGAGGAAGCCCGCAGCCCCTCCACCTCGGTGTGCTCCTTGGAGGGCGAAACGGGTCCCAGGGGCCTGTGAGAGAGGATCATTTAAACTCGGAGTTACTGTTCTGAACTCGTTCAGGCTGCTCTGGGGCTTTTATGGCATAGGAATTCCCTGTGTCCCTCGCCTTGATTCAAGCCCTGTGCCTGTCCAAGGTCAAGGCCAGCTTTTGCTGCTCGGAGTGTGCTCTTGGGGTCAGCAGCCACAGCAGTCTGTTCGGGCTTGCAGGGAATGCAGCGCCTCAGGCCGCCACTGCAGCCCGACTGGATCAGAATGCCGGTCCGAGACAAGGTCCCCAGACGCTTCCTCTGTAGTCAAGTTCACAGTTCACAAGGCCGGTGCTCTCCCTCCGCCCTCCTGACTTTGGGGGCTGGGTC